AATCTTAAATTAATTTTTGTCCAGTAAAATACTGATTACCCAAGAATTTTTTAACTAAAAAATTATTTTTTTAATCTTCATTCCCAAAAATTATTTTTTCCGAATTAACTATTTTTTATTGCAAAAATTATAGTTTTCTTCAAAAAAATATTTAATATTTATTTAAAAATGGTTTTTCCCGAAAAGATTTTTAAAAAGCAATCTGCCTTATCCTGAGTTTCGCCTGGAAAAAATTCAGCCGAAAATTTGTCATTCGCCCTTAGTAAAACCATGGAAACCAAAAGTGAAAAGTGAACCGGGCGGATCACAAATTTTCGGGTGAATTTTTTTCAGGCAGAATATGCTTTTGGAAATTTTAATATTTAGCATTACATTTTTAACAGAAAGTTTTTTTAAAACCTTCAAATTAAAAAATAATATATATTATTTTAATAATTACGCCGATTTTCATAAAAATATATTTTTTTTAAATGTCTCGATAAAGATAGATAAATACATATGAGGCACATTCTTCAAAAGGAAACAAAGACTAATAAAAACTTACTGAGTTTCTTTGAGTGAAATCACTTTTTGGGAAAGATGTTTTATTTGGTCCCGAAAAGCTTAAATACTACAAAAATAATTCTGCAATAATTCACAAAAGGGGAGAAAAGAAGGTCCAGGATGGCTTGCCTCAGTCAGACTCTGATTTTGATGAATCTCTTAGCAGTAGTACTGATTTTAAAACAAGGTCTGTCAGTTCCGAAGAGCAAACGAGAGCATCGCTCTTGAAAACTTCTTTAGTTAGTGATCGGTATGGGCAAGAGATGGGCACGGGCCCCTGCGTAAGCCCGCGGGTCTGGGCCCCTGCGTAAGCCCGTGGGTCCGGGCCGTAATATTTGCTGTCAGCACGATCTCGTGCGTGCATGGGCTTTTAGTAAAATTTCATAAAAGCACGAATAGCCACGAAAAAGCCCGTTGCTAATACTACAAATTTAGATAAGCTTTTGTTTTTATACCAAACAAAATAGTACATATTAAAACTGTTTTGATAAGAGAAAAGTAAAAAAAAAACAAGTAAGAAAGTCTAAGTTCGGGCGGAGCCGAACATTAAATACCCGGCGCAAGTATTTAATATATGACTTTCACCTTTCCGAAAGCTACCGCTACATGGTAAGTCAATTTGAGTAAATTAGTCCTTAAATTTCGAAATTTTGAAGTTTCAAGCAGTTCTGAAATTTACCGTTATATGAAAAGCGGCCTCAATTTTAGTCCGATTTCAATAATTTTCAACGTTTTGCTTTTATGTGGCAAGCGTAATAATCATACCGAGTTTGGTACAAATTGGTAGAATGGTTACCGAGATACATATATGAGATCATAAGTGGGCGGTGCTACGCCCATTTTCCAAAATTTTATCATAAACGTATTTCTTGGTTAAGAATTGTTGCAAGGATAAATTTTGAATAATTTTGCTTTAATATTTACTGATTTATCGAAGATTTCGTATTTCTCTAAATTACCGTAATATGGGATGTGGGCGTGGTTATTGTCCGATTTTAAAAATTGTCGGCCATTTGGTGTCGCGTAACAAGGCCAACAACTGTGCCAAGTTTGGAAGAAATCGGTGAAGCGGTTACCAAGATATACACATGTAACCATAAGTGGGCGTGGCTACGCCCATTTTCCAAAAATTTATAATATTCTTATTTTTCGTCTAAAACTTATTGTAAATATCTATTTTGAGTGAATTATCTTCAGCAGTTACTTAAATATCGCAGTTTTCGTATTTCTGAAAATTACCGTTATATGGGAAGTGGGCGTGGTTACGGTCCGATTTCGCCCATTTTCAATACCAACCTACCTTGGATAAATGGAAACTTACTTACCAAATTTCGTTGAGATATCTGAATTTTTGCTCGAGTTATCGTGTACGCGGACAGACGGACAGAGGACAGACGGACGGACAGACAGACATGGCTTAATCGACTTCTCTATTCAATCTGAGCATTTATGTATACAATTGTTTATATCTATCTCGATTCGTTTTGGCTGTTACAAACAACCGTTATGTGAACAAAATTAATATACCCTTATGCACAAGTGCGCTCGGGTATAAAAATATTTGGAAACCGGTAGAAAAAATAAGATACTTAGTAGTTTTGTTTACATATCTGTACATAAAATACCTTCCAATTTTTTACTTCCCAGAAAATATTTTATAAAAATCTGTGATATAGAAAATTGATTCGCTTAAGTAAATATACATATGTACAAAAACACAAAATTAAAAATATGTACATATGCATACATACAATAAAAATTGGCTCTTTATTTCCGGGCTGAGACGTGTCCCGTCGTGCCTGGCCGGGCCCCACTAAAATTCTTAACGTGCGAGCTCGTGCGTGTTTTTGAAAGTTGATTTTGCACTCGTGCCGGGCCGGGCCTGAAAATTTAGGCCCGTGCCCATCTCTAGTATGGACTGTTCAACAGACAGACTGCTGCGATTTCATTTGCTGTTCTTAAAGATGTTGACATTGTCACTAACGAGGCTACGCTATTTGTTGTTGACAACCCAAAGATACAAAGGCCTAGGTCTACGGTGAGATCTTCATGTGTTGCATCCAATAACGTCCTTAAAAATATGCGAGGTATTTATTTCGTAAATAAAGTAAATACTGTTGTTTAGGTTGAGGAAGTGGCTACATTCTATAAGCATACACAAACAGAGGAGCACATTTCTCTTGTCCAGGGAGCAACTTCAATATATGTATTTAGGATTTTTTAGAACAAAACGTTGGAATTGAGCGTCTGTTGTAACAGCATACAGATTCCCCAAAGTGTATTTGCGAAGTGTTACTGGAGTGATAGTCCTTGACCAGATAAAAATCTGGGTTGTTCCGACAACGTAGACCCGACGCTCGTGGGAACGGAACTGAGAGTCTTGTCGCACTTAGTTGCGATGGCACTCATCTAAATGCAGACTATAAGAGTCGTACGCAACAGGCCATTGCAATGGCATCACACGCAGACATCTATTGGAACATCTTGATGGTTCCACTATTGGACCTAACACATTTTCTGGAGCAATCGGAAAGCAATTTCCCGTCTCTGAAAATTCCCATCTCTTGAGAAAAAAGAACTCAGTAAAAAGTACCTGTATGAAATTTCCAATGCTATTCCGTCAGGATCTTGTAGTGCAGATTTTGTCAGGAAAGTTGTTGTTCCTAAATGACACTTTAAATGGCTGACAGCGTCAATGTGGATTCTTCGGCTGTATGACAGGACTCCAAGGCATTCAGCAAATTTAAAAGCATTAGTGATAGTCCTGTTAAAAGTACATGTTCCCTCCTGATTCGCGATATCGCTTGAAGTGATTCAAAACTCAAGGTATTTGCCAAAGAAACAACGAGACATTGTTGTCACTGTCAGTAGCAATAAAGCATTATTTTCCAGAAAATCTACTTCTATCGGTGTTGTCAGATAATGGTGAAGCAAACTCAGGCTGGAATTTTTGTGGTGTATTTCGATACGGTTATAAGTACAAGTTTTCCACATCCCGTCGAATTCGAATTCTAAAATTCATGTTTTTAATCCGCTCTAATGACCCTGTTATTAAAAAGTCGTTCAGTATGCCATTTCATCCTCTTCGGTACCAATCGGCCACGATTAATCGGTTGGACTCTACTTCATATATTCATCAGGCCAAATTTTCGCTCTTTTCTCGTCTTTGTCGAGTGTAAGAAAGATAGTTCCATACATTGGGTTCTTCTTCGTCATATGACCTGTGTTATCATTGAGAAGTGTTCTCTAGACGTCTGTAGCTAGATTTCCATTTTCTTCTCGACAGGAATTAAAACTGGCCTTAAAGCCACTTGAATCTTGCGTGTGTGCGTTCGAGTAGCATTCCTGCTTGCCACAATCTCAACATCTTCGCACTCACTTGTTACTGCCGCTCTTTACCTCTTCTTGAAAAGATGTCTCTCCTCGGTTCTAGGCGTTCACTTTGTTATAGCTCAATACTAGCTCACGTCGCCATTGCTGCAGGGTGTCTTTGAATGCCACTTCTTCAGCAGCTATATGAAGTGCTTCAGAAATGGGATCTTACCGCTCATTTATAATCAGGCAATGAGGAGTTTGTAAAATTTTGCGGCTGTACGATGTGACTGCAGCTTTTCGACACCAAACTGTCGTCGCGCTGCTAGGAGCACAGGGACGCATGGCGAGTTTGCCCATTGATGACGAGGGATATATGTATAAAGATTCAAATGTATAATACATGAAACTGCTTCAAAACAATAGCCGCTTTCAGCTGCACCTGCTGATGAGGAGACGATGCTAACTTCAGACTCCACAAGGGTTGCTCACGTACACTCACAGGAACGCAAGAATCGGTATTGAGTAAATTCTTGCAATTGTAACTTAATTAAGCTTAGTATCCAGTACTTAAGGGCACGGTCAAGAAAAAAAAAATTGCCCTAGGAATTTTTACATACGATAATTCGCAGCCTGTTGCATCACTCTTTCCTCACGAAATAATGAAACGGGCGTATATTTATGTTGCAAACATGGGTTTTCCTTGTGCTCTTTTTTCACAAAAACCTTTAGAAGGAAATTTAACACAAGAAATTTTCTTCGCCATTTCTTTAGCATTTATATTGAGTTTTTGGTTATCTTGAGCGCTGGATACCAAGCTATACCCAGAAGAACGACTATACCCAGTTGGATTCAGATTTCGACTAATGGGCGATAAAAAATAAATAAATAACTATTCTACTGTGGGTAAAATTCAAGATACTTAGTAGGTTTAAGTGATGTGTTAATTTTCCACTGAGAGCAAAACATACTAGCCAAAATTTCAAATTCCACGATTCATGTCTAAAGCGTACATGCAAAAATATGTAGTTCTGAAATCTGTTTGGTAGTAGAGTAACTATCTTTTGAGCTCTATATTTCATATGTGCGAATGCGCTTGAGTTTTATTTATTGAACCGCTTTTCCTCTTTTCCTTTTCATTGTAGCGCCTGCTAATGGAAGCGTATATACGACAAAAGCGCGCCTCTCCTGGAATGGTGCAGGCCAGCGACTTACAAATAACCCGTCCTATGTCCGGACTGCGCACATCAACGGACAATAGCCGCGAGCTGCATGCTTACGATGGTCCCATGCAGTTCATCAGCTCGCCACACAATCCCGATCAATTATTAAGCAACAGCACCGCCACCACCTCACCAACAACAACCACCGCCATTTCTAGTAACAGCATGGTCAGCACAAATGGCCGACAGCGCGGCAGTAATTCGAACAATGGGCGCCCGCGGACAGCTCATGGGACGAGCCACATCATCAATCAGGATGGTAAGCTTGATGAAAGTTATTATTGAGCAGTTTACAGTCAATGCATATATATTATTTCCCTAACTCCTCTGTGATTTCTGCTTTGCTTACAGATTTAATTGAGGAGATATCCTCGCATGAGCTTGAAGACGACGAAAGTAGTCCTGTCAACCACGCCATCATCAACGGACAAAGGCAAAGACAACGTCAACAACAACAAATGCAAGAGCATCAGCAACACTCATACAGCCACGACCGGGACAGCAGCACATTGGACGAAGACGATTACGCGAATCGCAATATTGAGGAAGCAGCGCCCGTAATGCCTTTGAACCACAGCATCGTTGCCACCACCAGTGCACCGCGCAGCTCATCGGCCCACTCGTCCGGCTCTGCGAACATCACTGCCATCTACTCAAACAGTGCACAGCAAACGACCTCGCCGGTGGACGCTAGCGGCGAACCGGAAGGCGATGTCGTCGGCAACATGGAGCAATTCGTTATGCAGCCGGCGTCGCAAGGTGTGCTCTTCAAGTGCCGCATAACCCGCGACCGCAAGGGTATGGATCGTGGACTGTTTCCTATCTACTATTTACATTTGGAGCGGGATTACGGAAAGAAAATATTCCTCTTGGGAGGTAAGTAAAATGAATATAAATGTTAGTGGATATTTAACAATGTTGCACTGCCTTAAGGACGCAAACGAAAGAAGAGTAAAACATCCAACTACATTATCAGCTGCGATCCTACAGACTTATCGCGCAATGCGGAGGGCTTCTGCGGCAAATTGCGTTCAAATGTGTTCGGTACCTCGTTTACTGTGTTCGATAATGGCAGCAAGGATAGCACAGAAAACCCCCGGCACGACTTGGCAGTTATCATTTACGTAAGTGGACTTGGGGGTTGTATAGAGGTTAGATAGTTTTATAGAATGTATATAAAGTTACACATACTACTGCGCGATTTCTGGAGCAGGTCAGTGGATTTCCAGTTGAGTATTAGCAACAGAGCTATAAGACTGCAATATTGCGATAATTATCAGGTGGCATACCCTATAATTTTGAGTGCAGCCGGACTGTAAATCAAATTAGTAGTGCATTTGGCTAAAACTTTAGTTCGAGGTGTATTTTCCAGTGAAAGAAACAAGAGGCAGAAACAGTGCACGGGCATGGAAAAAATAATGGTGGTAGAGTTTACATACAAAAATTGATAGAAGTTGGTAGTTTTTTTTTTTACGAAACAATATTAGATAGTTCTTATTGATATAGGATAAATGAAGGCGAATTTAGGCAAGAGAGGGTTACCAGAGCAGCTGGATTTTAGCCTTGGTGATTCTTAATGTCGAAATGGTGTATTTGTTGTAATTCTTAGTGTCATTATGCATACAATTTGTTAGTGGAATTTTTGTTTTTGAACTTCTTTATAAAACAACAAAAAAATTTATTTTACGTCAATAAAATATTCAACAAAAAACATATGGGCAAATCTAAAAAACAGGTAACCTTTGTGTTATTTAGCTTTATTTTCACTGTTGTAAACTATAGCAATCTGGTTGCTTTTGGATATGATTCATTGACGTATAGTTGAAGCTTTAAAAAAAATTTGATCGATTTGCTGCATAACTTTTGAATTATAGGTGTTTAAATAAGGTATTTTTCAAAGTTAATGGAGATAACCTTCTCTTTTTTGTAGGGGAATATGCTTCGGTCTTCCAGGCTGAGGTAATTGCAATACTCAAAGCCATGGACTACGTGGTGGAACATACATAGGTGGAGAGGAAGGAGTTTACGTGATTGCAGTGACAACCAAGCTGCTCTTAAGGCATTAGACAGCCCTCTATTTAAGTATTTCCAAACTAGTTCGGCAATGCAAGTCTCGACCAAAATATGTTGCTGAACATAACGAGGTTGTTTTACTCTGGGTACCAGGTCACTCAGGAGTACCTGATTATGAGACATCTGATCATTTGGCCAGAGTTGGCTCAGACCAGGCACTCCCCGGTCCGCAACCAGTTTTAGCACTCCCACCTTTGGCAATCGAAGCCACCATCAGAAACAGGGTGAATACTTCGCTCAGCAAAGACTGAGAGGCATCGAGGGGATGCAGGTGGACAAAACTCATGTTGCTCAATCTCACAAGGTCTATCTAATTTTTTGCTCTCACTGAGCAGACGACACTGCAGACAACTTGCTGGACTGCTGACTGGTCACTTCACGTGGCACAAACACCTCACTGTGATAGGCGTAAATGACAAGTCTATTTGCCCATCTTGCCTTGAAGAAGATGAGACGGTGGAACACCTTTTGTGCTTCTTGCTTGCTTGGTTATTTGTCATAGATTTTTTTACACTCGTTCTTTTCTCTATTGTCAATTTCTGAATTAAAAGTTTGGCGTAAAAAGCTTAGCCGTTTTGATGTTTTAAGTTTTGTGTTTTAAAAATGTGATAAATATTTTTCGCCTCACTTTAAAACTCGGAGCAATAAAAAATAAAAATGATGTCATTAATACAAATAAACTATTTTACATAGGCTGAATTTCTTTATTCATTCTGAACGTTTGGAATAAACTTTTTTGTTTACTTATTCTTTAGAACGTTCCTGATGATATGTTAACGTATATTTCAAAAGCATTCTGTTTATTCCGGCTGTGAAATGGGATTATCCGGAATGTATAAAGAAACGCAGCCATATATTCCACGTACAAACTCATGAGTGAGCCGAACATTTGATGAGTTTATGGTGAAGATAAAGTAAATAACGCTAGCGCCCGCAGTGCTCTTAAAAAATATAACTCCTCCGAGCGAGAGAGTATTTTGATGTATTTACGAGCTCTATTTTTTAAAACCTACAAGTGTGTAATCACATTATTTTTATAAATAGAACACAAGAAAATATTTTACTTTTATTTTGGCCACTCTGAGTTCAGTTTTTGAATTCACCCGCGATGCAAATTTACATTGTTAGATCTAATTTTCACATTTCATTTTTTTACGAGCTTTGGGAATATTTAGAAATGTATCAGCAGGGGGTCCACCGAAACCCGTAAATTTTTGAAAGGGGTCTACGAGAAAAAAAGTTTGGGAACCTCTGGTATAAAGTATAATATTCCGTAACGCCAAACTACAAAATGTTGACAATGTATACTTTTCCAAAACGCATCCGAAAATGTATCGAAACGCATAGCTAGAGTAATCAGCGCATCAGAAACAAAGCTGATGCTTCGTTTGTTTTTGCATATTCAAAATATGCAATGTATGTATATGGTTACAATGTTTCGCAACTCTGCATATAGAAACAGTTTAAATGCTGCAGCAGAACAGTAACCAAACATTGTATTGGTAAGTTTTGGAAGTCTGCCTGTTTGATTAAAATTAGTTTTGAAATGCTTGAATTTTGCAGACGATTCGTTTGGCAGTCTCTTACAAAAAACGTATTCCAAACGAAACATATTTCCATAGCTGATAGTTTATTTTGCAATTCAAAGTAAATAGGAGAAAAATCAACTGTCGTTTTATTTCATTCGATTCGAATCGAGTTTCATTCGACAACGGATACCGTGATTCGAGCCCAGTTTTATGTAGGTATAGGTTTTTTTTGAATGTTTTATTTACGGGAAATACATTTTTATTTTTTTTATATAAATATACAATTTCTCACAAGGCGAATTCACATTAGGCGATAGCAGGAGTACACACACAAAAATTACACCAACATATTTTACGCAAAATACCGGTAAGAATTATAAAAAAAATCTTAACTTTGACATTATGAACCACTGAGGCTATGGAACTATGATTCCATTTTACTTTTCCAGAATTTGTGGATGATTCCGTTAGTGCTTGGCATATATTATGTTCAACCCTTCTGTAGGCGATATTCAAAACCCGCAGAACTGTGCGACATTTCAATTTTTTTTCGCATTGACTTCGATAATAGTGTTCAGTGTAAAATATTAAAATTTCTCAGTATTCAATTTTCATCGGGAAATGTGGTTTTGTTGTGTTAAATTGCAAAATATATGATTTTTAAAAATAATTAATAGCGAAATGTTAAAGAAACGGCGATTTTTGTGAAATTATTAGCCAATTTCAGTGCATCTAAAGTTTCTAAAGCGTTGTTTACTTTTACTAGAGAATTGTCAAAATCGGCAAATCCCATGTAGCGGTTTCTGGAACGTGCCACATTTGTTCGCTACATCGTGATGTAATAAAAAGAAAAGCTGGCAGCACTCCGCAAGGTTGCAGAAATCTCTCAAAATATGTTCGAAACATATCTTGATATGGAAGGAACTGCTTTACACTGTCAAGGAAAAAAATTGCCAAAACTCAACGCAAATTTTAGCAACTTCAATCTTGCACTTTACTATGCTAAAATAAATTTTTTTTAGATTCTAATTAAAATGTTTGCAATTTATGTGAAACCTTGCAGAATTTTTTTAATTTTCGTACAAACTTTGATCCAAAACCTGAGATCTATCACATTTTTTCGAAATCTACCACATTTTTTCCAGATTCTACCACACGATTTTTTTTTCAAGTCCGATCACTGGCTGTAGGTTGAAGAGGATGCTGAACTTGGAGGAAGGCCAACACACCTAGGCCCAATCAGGTACCAATTGTGACTCCACATTGATCCACGAAACTTAGCTGCTGCATTATTTTAAACTTTGCTGTTGCACTTCTACACCCAGGAATTTCTGTATTTTTTCGCATCTTGCAGGGCAAACGCAGAGTAAGTTCCTGATGAGTTCAGGCTCTTCTTTGCCGTAGCAGCTCCTGTAGTAGTCATTGTGGCGGACCACGAGGCCTTCCGCATGCTTTCCTATTAAGATATGACCAGTGAGTGAGAACGAGAATTTCTTTTGTTCTCCATATGTCCCATCTGGTAACGGGTTCTTCATGAAAATGTTCCCCGAAAATGTAATGCAAGTACCACCTATCACAAGCTCGTTTGCGTTCTCATTCCCTGGTATGTCCATATACTGCGGAACCCTTACCAGATGCAAAGCAAACTGCTTTGCCATCACTTGCTTGTTCTCATCACAGCTTGTTTCCGACTTCTTGTATGTATGGCCGTATTTGGGCTTGAACGACACTGCAATGATCTGGTAGACAGAAAGACATTTGTATTCTTAATTGTTCCTCATGCTCTGTTTTCTAATTTGGAGCCGTACGTGTAAAATCGTATGACATGTACGTATGACATCCTCGGTTACTGGAACTCCTTCTAGTCACTTCATTCACACTAATTTTTGTTTTACTTTTAAAATCCCTTCTTACTTCATTTCGTATTTTGTAATTTTCTTAGGATACCAATATACTAGGTTTCAAAGGACCACGCAACATGACTGTAATACTGCCCGGCATGACGGAGGAAGACCAACGCGTAAAAATCAGTTCGGCTGATCCCAAACAGCAGGGTATACTTGACTTGTGGAAGGTGAAGGTCAGTCCTTTATACTGCATTACTTTATTACCAACAAATTTCATTTGATACACTCCTTCGCTTTAGAATATGGACAACATAGTGGAGTTGCATAACAAAACGCCCGTCTGGAATGATGAAACACAATCATATGTACTCAATTTTCATGGGCGCGTTACGCAGGCATCGGTTAAGAACTTTCAACTCGTACACGATTCTGATCCCGACTACATAGTCATGCAATTTGGACGTACCTCCGAGGATGTATTCACCATGGATTACCGTTATCCATTGTGTGCACTGCAAGCTTTTGCCATAGCATTGAGCAGCTTTGATGGCAAAATAGCTTGCGAGTAGAAAGCGAAGAAAATGGAGGAGAAATAAGAGCGACAAATGAGAGGACATCAAAATAAAACCAAATAATCGGAACAAAATAATAGAAAGCAAATGCAATTATTTATGTAATTTAAACATAAAAAATTAAATTAAACTTAACGCAACAGAGTACGGTTCAAATCAAAAAAGTGCACGAATTTACTAAAAAAAAAATGGTTGCCTTAGTTGAAAGCGTTTCAAAGCGCTTAAGATTTACCTATGCGCGTGCACCCACTTGATTAAACTAATATTTTTTATATGTACATATAACAGTCGAGATTTAAAAAGATATTAAAAACACAATTGAAGAAAATTTATACAGCTGAAAGATATTTATTAATTTAAAATGTAGAATACTGTAACAGAGCTAAACATTATGATGCGATTAGACCAACATAAAGTAAGAATACAAAATCTAATGATTGTTAATAATGCATCTTTAGAAAGAAATCAATACAATTTCGGTATAGAGTTTTACATATTTACATATTTTTTTAAGGGTGAACCGAAAATCGGAGCGGAACTTTTGTTAAACATTTTATTGCATGAATCGATTATTTATTGCATTAATTTTTAAGCCCGAGAGCACTTTTCTATAAGATTATTACTATTTTGTCTGTCCGCCCGCGTATGCATACGGAAGCTTAAGTAAAAATTGTGGTAAATAATATTTGTACCTTAGGACGGAAATTGGCGAAAAGGGGCGATAAAATGATAACAATTCACACTTTCACAGAGTTCCTCTTGATGAAATAAAAGCCGAGATGTTTAACTCTTAGTTTCGCGGAAGCAGAGCACTGAGAAGAAGTCCCGTTACTCTTATAGCCCCCTGCCAGGAAATATTACCTGTCCTGCCTAGCCTATTCATCAGTCTTGCAGTTTTCTATCTTGTCACTGTGTGGCTGACTTCCTAAACGCCAATTGCTTTGCGTACGTACAAAGAATAAAGTTTCATAACGCCGAACTACAAAATATTGACACTTTTCCAAAACGCATCCGAAAAGTTTCGAAACGCATCGTTAGAGCGATCAGGGCATCGGAAACAAAGTTCATGCTTCGTTTGTTATTGGTTACCATTGGTGTTTTTAAAAGGGAAAATTCAGAAAAATTGTTCATTGCTATATTGAATAATTAAAACATGCAATGTATATCGTTGCAATATGTCTCAACTCTGCATATACAATTAGTTTGCATACCGCGTTATAACAGTTTCCAAACATTGTATTGATAAGTTGTGGAAGTCAGCCTGTCTAACAACTCAAATCATTCTGTAATCCGAGGCTATCGCTTGGCTGCCGGAGGTGAGACGGAAGCCTAAGCTTTAGATTAACTCTACACCCAACATCTACTTATTCGTGAATATCTTTACTGGAACTCTGAGTAACCAGTATCTTAGCCTGATGGCAGAACAGACCGTGAGAGCCTTAACCGCATTGTCAACCGGTATGAAGTCTTACATCTATTATGTATGCAATATTTTGGCCGAGCAGTTGATTCAAGTAAGCGGCGACAACTGTGCTTATGTTTTTGCCAGAAAATCTTAAAACATAGTTTTATTTTGCTTTTATAATTTATTTTACTTGACTTTGTTTTATTTTCTTTCGTTATATTTTATTTCATAATTTTTGTTTTATTACACCCTGTGACAAAACAAAAAAAAATCTAACTACACGAAACAATCAATATACTCAGGAGACTATGGGTGAAATGTAGTGAAATTGCGTTTTTATTTTTTCTCCTTGATGCCAGAATTTTTTTAAACGGACTTTCAAGTTTCAAAAATATGATTACTTCGAAATTATTTCAAAAAATCAGTGCGAATATATTATTCTGTATTTATATGCGTGCCAAATAAAAAAAAAAAACAAGTTGAGTAGAATTTAAAAAATGGTTTTAATTAATTTTAACTTCTAAGCTAATAAATTTAAAAGGGCGATATTTCAATTTTCAAGGGTATTCGAGGATTATATTTTAAGAGGATATTTTCGGCCTTGTGCACCGAAAAAAAAATCTGTTTTAATTCTACAGAATTTTCCTCTTTAATTTGATGCTCATATTTTTATTTTATATTGCGCGGAATTTTTTGATAAAGTTTTTTTTTAATTTATCATATTTTTGAAGTTTTAAAGTCTTTAGAAAAGATCCTGACGTCAGTGACAAAAACTAAAAAACGCATTTTACCTTTATTCGGCCATATTTTCGCAAATATATTAGGGCTGCTCGGGATGATGTGGAAATGGTCTTGGATTTGCAGTTAGAATTTCATTTGCCAATTTTATGCTTGCTGCCATGGCAACCGTGTACATTTTATTGTTTTGAATTTACAAATCCACCGAATATGCAAATACAAAAGCATATGCACAAGATCCTGAACATCCCTATTTATTTTTTGTGTGTAAAATTGACTATAGCACGGCGTTATTAGTTAATTTAAATTTTTGAAGTCTAATTTTATTAAAAAGTCCACAGCAATTATAATTACATTAAAAAATTAAATTAAATCAATATTCTACTGGCTGTGGCACCCGAACAAAAACCTAGTGGCTCGTTAATCCGCATTACTACTGCATATCTGTCTATGCTATTTCATCCTTCTGCATATTTTGAAGTGTTTGATTCAGAATCAGTGTTCATATTTATTTCGATGTAAAAGACTTTCTATGGCCTTCAGCAAAACCAAATTACCAACGATTTGTAGACTACAATTACTTGATAATTTTCGAATGTTTAGAGACGTTCTGGTAAATGTCTATAACCGGAGGCGAAACTTTCTCTACCCACACCTTATATTGATTTATTGCATACACTGAGGGAAATAATTCATAGTAAAAATGAATCTTTATATTTGATTATCGTTTAAAATTGCTCATATTTAAAAATAATATTTTCATGCCAAAATTTAGAACGCACGTATTTGAATGTCCACATCGTTACGTATATTTGAATATAATTCAATATTAGTTGAAAAATCATCTAACTCGGGGCAATTAACTATTTCAGCATCAAAAGACATCTGCAAAAGAAACGTACTGTCTTTGAACTGCTTTAAGCCAAATGCATTTTATAGTAGTTCAAAACAAATTCAAAGTCGAACAATCGACTTGCTGCTTGTACATAATTCAAACTGCACTTTTGAAAACACATTTATATTTCTGATTTTAGCTGAGCATGCAAAGATACCTGTAAGCTTCCAAAAGGTCCGGGTTCGAATCCCAACGGAGACAACATATGAAAATGATAATATAATTGTTTTTTGTGTCTTGGAATTATGAAAAAGCATCTGTGAAGTGCAGAACGGAACTTACTGACTGTGAAGTGATTTAAGCCAAATGCATTTTAAATTGATTGAAATCAAATTCATGGTCGGATAATTGACTGATGCCTAGCTTGTCGCAGTGTTAAAGTCAACAGTTCGTTTCAAGGGAGAAAGTCAGATCTGCAACTTATTGTGGAGGGTAAAAAACTGGTTGAACATCGATATTTAAACTAGTTTCTTTCCGTAATGGGCATGTGTACCAAGCATGCAGATCTTTGACAACACACACACGCATACATAGTATGTACATGTTTACCTGTAAAAATGGAAATTCAACATTTGAAAGCACATTTATATGTCTGGCTGTAGCTGAGTAAGCAAAGATGCTTGCTTTCCAGGGGGTCAGGGTTCGAATTCCATTGCAGGCAACGTGCAAAATAAGTATAATTTTTTTTTGTTTTTATCTTCATCATTCACTTCACGGATGCTTTTTCAAAAGGAATGCTTCACTTTAAACGCGCGTAGCTGAATTGAATATTTACCGCTATAAAGTACTTTCGTTGACGTTTATGGTAGGATCAACTACGTTTCTGATTGATTTAGGTAGCGATCCTATTTGCTGAGACCAATATTCCTTAAAGAAAGTATTAATGCATATTTTTTAGCTTACAAAAATGTTCCCTATTTAGTTCTAGTCAGTAAATAAGCAATTTTACTTGTCATAAGAAATCGAGCTCAAGAACAACTACCAAAATAATTATTTTAGTAAGTAATTTGGAAATATATTATAATTTAGCTATGTATGTTTAGATAAGATTATTTGCACCCAACGCACAAATGTATACTAACCTCTCTGGCATGATATGCGAAGCTATTTTAGTCGCATGCAGTTTTTGCGCCATGTAAAATGTGGCGTGTGGAAGCAAGTCATTCAAAATTTTGTAGTTATATGTTTGAATTTTTCAAAGCGGATAAGGAGTAAATATATATGCGAGTATATTTAAATTGTATTAATTAACTATGAAATGTGTACGAATTGGAACACATCTAGCAATATACCTTATATGTACTATTTATTTCTGGGACAGTCATACAAACTTGTACTTAATACGCGAACAACAATAAGTATCGTATTAATTTATGTATGTATGTATGTTTGTTTGTTTGTTTTAGATTTTCTTGACGAATGCAAATTATAAATTACAAGAATTTTTTAATTTTATACCTGGCCTACGGGCCATGCTAGTGTATATTTGCAAATCCCTCCTTTATAAAGGTATGTTTGAAAGGATGATACACTACTCAAAATTGGTAGAAGAAGTCGATAATTTTTCAATATAAAAATTTATTTTAATCAATCTTTACCAAAGTCGGTGCACACATTATTTTCGGTCTCACTAAGTAAGGCGTTTTGAAATCGAGCATCAAAGACGCCCAGATCCCATTTGAAGGAAGCTTTGCCAAAAATAACAACTTCGATATTTCAGTAGTCAAATTGTTAAAAACGTATGCATAGAGTAACATTTTAAGGACTTTGAAAATTCGAAATATGTTTAGTTCAACAAATCACAATATGGGTATCAAATAAAAGAGAAACTTCTTTAGAATTTAAAAATAAAATTGTATGGTACATAAGAACGAATAGGTATTGAAAGTGTCCTTTTGAAATTGGATCCTTGAATTTCTTTGAAAATTTGCAATATCTATTTTTGAAAAAATTATATGTACACACTACCTACATCCTATAACTTCGTCCTTTTCACTTTATTAGCTTTTAAATAAGGGCATTTACAATAACTATTCATCCTTGTGAACCAAAAAATTTGATTTATATTAATTATACAGAAATTTCTCTTTCGTTTGATATTCATATAGTTATTCGACATTGTACTGAGTTGTTAATAAATAATTTTTGTAATTAGGTAGTCATCACTTCGAAATTTCCAAGTCGTTTTTAAAAAAATCCTGACGTTAGAGGAAATTTAAGCCCAGTCTTACTATAGTTCTGTTTGTCAAGCCAAAAATTTTTACAAACTTGTACGAATTATTATGATTTTTGTTCAAATCGCGTGCGTGCAGACCAAAAAATTATCCATCACTCAATAATTTTGAGCGCAAAGTGACAGTTCTTTTGGAGAAAAGTTGCAATCACGAAAATTATGATTGCGGCACATGGTTGCATTTTTGTCGCCGATAACAAGTTCGTTAAATTTAAAAATCTATAAACTTTAGCGGTTTTCTAACGAATTAATAGTAATAATAATAGATTGGCGCTTACACATATGTTAGTGTTTGGCCGAGCTTCTCCTCGGAATTGTAGCGTGCGCCTTGATGTTGTCACACAAAGGGGCAAAGGGGAGGGACCTACAGTTTTACGCCGACTCCGAATGTCGATTGTATTTTTATGAGAAACTGTTTTTCAAAGCAGAAATACACTCCGAGGTTTGCCATTACCTGCCGAGGGGCGACCGCTGTTAAGAAAAAACCTTATTTTTTGTGATGTTGCTTTGGTCATGGCTTGAACCCAGGCGATGCGGAGTGGAAGCGCGCACTGCTTACCACTACACACAGCGGAAAAATTTAGGTAAAGAAAGTCAGAATAACAAGAAATATACATACATGTAGATTAGGGCTGGCCGAAAATCGAATCTTTCTCAAATCCCTTGGTAATAGTGAAAATATATTAGGGGTATTCAAAATGGTGTGTAAGTGTCGTATTGTTGTATGTCGTAAAATTTAAACCCCTAAAAAACATATTAAGGGGTTTCGCAAAGTACCATCAAAGTCATTTTATGAATTTTCGCATTGTTAAAAAATGTTTGGTTGTGGTTTCAAGTTCTCTAAACTTTTATTTAAGCTTTCAAAGTTTACGTCATACAACAATACGACAGTTACGACACCGTTGTGAATCCCTCAATTGTATCATGATGTGAACAGCAAGCCTGCAAAGTATTAGTCATTAATTTTAATCGAAAGAGCCCGCACGTCGACCGCCAAGTGACCCACAGCGAACTAGTCAAATATGTTATTAGATAATGAATTCGTTAACGCAAAAGATAAAGTCAAATATCATTTCTCGCAGCCCTTTAGCTTATCAGCTTATCGTTGATCTCAAAGTTATCTTTTTTCAATAAAATTTTAATTGTTCTCTTGATAATTGCATTGGGCTATAGTCAAAAGATGTAAAGCACAGCATTAATATTGCTGGCGTGCATTTAGGTCGCTGGTTCCATATATTCTAATCTTTTTTAATAATTTTTTTGCAAATTTAACAACAATTTCGGTGGTTCTAATGGAAAAGCCATTCAGAACCGGTTCACTTTTCACTTTTGGTTTCCAGGGTTTTACTTAC